TATATATATATATATAAACGATAAATCAGTTATGATATGGTTAAAACAAAAAGGTTGAAACATCCCTACCTCTGTAACTTTTTCTCTCAGTAGATTCGTTTTCATTGCTTGAAGCTAGCCTTACAATTGTTGTTTGACCAGTTTAGTAATTTACCCAATGACTCAAACCTTCTTTCGCTTGAACAAGAAAACGTGATGACTGCAACACGATCTGTCTACCAGGAAAATTCTGATGTAGTTAAGAGGAGGCTCGACGTGACGGGAGGTGACATAATATCCTGTAGAGACAACATTACTTGCGAACCTTTGTTGATCTTAACGACCGAATAGTGCGAATAGTCGCGAACAGTGACGAATAGTGACGAATAGTGACGAATAGTGACGAATAGTGACGAATAGTGGCGAATAGTGGCAATAGTGAAGAATAGTGGCGAACAGTGGCGAATAGTGGCGAATAGTCGCGAATAGTGACGAATAGTAAAAATAAATGAATTAATAATGAAACAAAAAAATATTTATTGCTCTATTTCATAGATTTAAGGAGCAAAAATTATTTATAAAGCTCTGGATTTGAATCTAATATAGTTTAAAATATTGGCTGTCGTCTCATCTATGAACGTTTGCCTGCAGTAATTTAAAATCGGTTTTAATATGACTGCATGGCTAATATCGCTTCTTATGTATATATAAACCTATTTCAAAAGGTCCAAGATCTGAAATCTGACATCGGATTCGTTGCCGGGTACAACGCCAATAGCATGAAAATGATTTTAAAACTAGTTTCGAAATAGGAACTTCCATATTCTGGTATGTCAGTAAAGTGAAGCGCAAGGGTTTGGAAATAGGTATATATGCAAGTTATTTCGAGTATGTACGAGAAATTAAAAGCCCTGTTTCTGTTTACATCATGATTCAGTAGGACTGCATGACTGCATGACTGAGAAGCATTCATGAATTGTTTCATGATGCAAATACGTTTTTTTATTGATTTGTTCTATTGTCTTGTCGAGTATGCTAAGGAAATATTTCATTAGAAAGTATATTTCTGTGTTAAACAACCTGTTTATGATCAGAACATGACACAAAACAAAACTAGTCATCTATGTTCACAAATGTACGTAATATGAACTTTTAAATTACATCGAATTGTGTTTTAATCATGTAAATTATCATTCTGAAATAAATAGATAGCGGTACTACTTACCGTGTCGTAAACAAAAGAGTTACTCACCGACACCGGAAATCGCGTAGAAGTCAGTAACTGTGACCAACTCTGCCCGGAAAATTTTACTGTCTGAGAGTTTTACTGACAGCTAGATTACACCCCATGTCGTGAAACCACTTATAGAGACATCGCGCTTTTTCTTCGCTTTTTTTTGTTTCACACAAAAAGGGAAACGTGAGGCAACTGACAGATGATTCATGCTAACCCGCGAGTATCATTTGGCACTGGCACAATTCGACTTAACAGGCACACGCATGATTTAACAGTGGAGGATCGAAAACAGGAATTGGCGATATTTCCAATAACAATTATAGTCCAGTGTTTAGGTGCCAGTTTCGCATTCGCGTGACAAAAAATTAAAGAAACGATACGGCCCAGCGCCAAAATTTTGATATACAAATAGTCAATCGAAAAACCGCTCAAAATAATTTGTTTGATTCAATAAACACTCCATAAATCAGTAACAGTTACTAAAACATGAACCTCCCACCCCTCCCTACGTATTAATAGTTCGTCCTTCGCCTCACCCTCAGTAACAACAGTTTACCTACCATCCCTTCCTATGTACTAATGGTCCGCCTCCCCCCCCCCCCACCCCCCCGATAAAATGGTCCAAAAAGTAGTCCAAATGTAAGAATTTTTCTCGAAAGGCACTCGCGAAGGTAGAAAGTAATCTAGAGAAATACCACTATTACCAGTACTATTTGACCTTCAGAGCTACTACTAGAGCTTGTCAGATCTGTACGGCTGTAATTGGTTAGATTCTAGAAGCCTCCAAATAAATAAAGCTTCATTGCGTTGAATCTTTTTCAGTCAATCAGCGGGAAACCAGTTTGTCGATCATCGAAACCGAAGTCCGAAATGCTTGTTAGACCGAATGTCACGTTATTTACATTTCATAAGAACTATATAACCAAAAAAACTATACCTTCCATTTTAGCGACAGGTTAGAAAGATATGGAAAACTTTAATTCGCAGGCTTTGGATCTGGAAGGTCTCCTTGAGAGCTCTTGAAGTTCTTGAGCGTCCAGCCCGACTGACTCACGTCAAGCTACGTGACGTAATTTGGCATCAAGCAGGGCACAATTGGCTGTAAGATGCTGGCCCTAGCTTTGCACCTATTGTTCTGTTCTGGAGGTGTCAGCCAAATTATTAGCTATTACTTGGCGCAAAACAACGTATCCCATTAATAAAAGAGAGATTCCGGCCAGCGGAAAATTTACGAAGTACTCTAAGCGCTCGCTGCTCGCCATCTGTATTTTTCTAAAGTCCTCGCTGCTTGCAAGTAAAATTTGACAAATGCTCGTGCTCGCAAAAATAAACACACTGTTCGCATGCTCTCAAACATAAACACACTGCTCGCATGCTCACAAATGCTCACACAGACCATTCGATACCACTCTTTTTTACTCATAAATTTAAAATTACTTATATAATAATAACAATTACAATTTCCTCAAATGTGATTGGTGCATCAGCTGCTTCACTTTTCACTAATCATTCTGTACAGTTGCAATCGGACAGTTGGCTGTAATCGGACACCTGTAGTCGGACAGTTGAAGCAGCCAATCACACTAGGTCCACTCTGCTAAATCCACCAATCGCAGAACTGATCACAATAACCATGGCAACAACCACTTATCCAAAGAAAAAAAAAGGCAATTTCCAAAACGGAAGAATATTTAACTAAAGATATTGTCTTTAGATATTTGGAGATATTTGTTCTAGGTGTATTTGTTTTTTTGGAAACAAATACAAAAAATATTTTTCGTTGTGATATTTTCCTTTCCGTTGATTGGCTGTTGTGATTACTTTGGTTTTGGTTTTTACCTCACTCAGTCGAGTTTCGCTCGAAAAACAAAGCACAATGATCCCATTAGGACTAAAACCCAAACCCCCCTCTCCTAGTCCATCGCAAGATTTACGATAAGGGGAAGTCCTTAGAACATTTGTACGATCACCTTTTCAATTATTCTTTTAGTGGAAATTGAGAGTCAGGGAAATATCAAGAGTGTTTCAACCAATATAAAGGTAAGTTGTTATATGGCAAGGTAGTCTTGAGGTAAATTCTTGCCTTCTGATTGGTTCTTTTTTTTTTTCATTTTAACATTTTTTTTATTTTCACTTAAAGCACAAATACTAGAATAATACAAACAAATACAAAGTTAATTACACTAACGCTTACGCTACTCACTAACACTAATTACGAAATACTGCGTTACATTACATTCACAGTCGGCTAGATTTAATTTATGTTGTGGTTATATAATAATATAAACCTAATTTGTACAAATACTTCTACATCAAATTCCTTTTTTGGTAGAACTGTTAATACCCGATACTCATCTATTGAGTTACAATAACATGTTTTCCCATTTTTTATAATGAATAGATTCTTTTTTATTCTTTTTTGCAATCAAAAATTCAAATTTCCGAGTTTCAGATGTTTTAGCCTTCAGTAAGGATACAGACGGCTTGATATTTTTACAACGACATGCATAAATGGTATATTTTCCAAGAATGATTATGTGATTTAACAAACAATTCCCATGGATATTATCGGAATTGATTGGTTCTTACCTGGTAAGGATTTTGCCATATGGACCGCTTCCACGGAAACGATTAAAAGCCCCGAAGTTTTGCTATCGCAAGTGGGTAAATTCATAATCGGCAAGTTTAGCCCGAGTGCCATGTAATTCGGTCAATCTTCGGTCAATCTTCGGTCAGTCTTCGGTCAGACTTCGAGTCAGTCTTCGAGTGCCATGTAATTCGGTCAGTCTTCGGTTAGTCATAAACACCTTTTAACCTCGCTTGCCCGAGCTGTACTAAAGAATAGTGGGCCTGGGTCGTTTTTGTACGAACCAAGTTCAGCTCGGTCCGTACAAGAACGATCGAGAGCCAAGTTTTCTCAGTACTGCCCGAGCAAACTGAACGAGGTTAAAAAGAAGTTAATAAATATTTGTAGTACAAAAATAAGTCGAGAAAAAAAAATGAGAGATATGAGGAAAAAAGAGATCAAGGTATTGATAATAAAATATTGTCGCTCTTAAAGTCACGTGGTTTAATGAGTCAACTGTTATGGCGGTTTGCATTGAATAATTTTCTTACACTGTTCAACATGTATCAGGCTCTTACTCCATACGAATGTCTTTAGTTTAACTTTCAAGTAGCAACAACGACAACAAGAACACTGCATCTCTTCAAAACATATTCAAACGAAAGAAATTTAGCATCAGAGAGACATCATAAAGGCCCTTGATTCTGCAGTCACGATGAAACTCAAGCCGGTCTTGACAAAACTGACTATACCCAAGGTAATAACGTTGAAAAGGCATATTTCTTGGCCTAGGAGAAGCTGGAGAAGACGCTGAAATGTCTTCTGGTTCATAAGCTCTTTCCACGTGCGAGAATTATCGAAAATGTTAATACTAATTTTAGAAATAATCTGCAATTCAGATGGTTCTCTCAACAGAATATATTTGTATTCTCTTGGTTTTCCGACTTTCCGAGAGCGGCCTGAACATTCTCAATAAAATGTTCGGTGAGTCGGCTCGTTCAGTTGTAAAACGCAGCAAGATGCGCACATAAGACCGTTAAAATATCATTTCAAAGGGAATTTATTGTAGCATTCGCATAAATTTTAACAACTAATTAGAGTTAATCGACAACTTAGAATCAAGATTAAGTCGCATTTGACTTCACCATCACTAGGGCTACTAAACCTATTAAATTTTCTTATTTTCGCATATCTAGCTATCAACTCTGAAGATCGTATATATTAAAAGTGATGAGATGAGATTCCATTCCTCCAGTGTAAGGACAAGGTAAACACCGTAAAATTTATCACAGACACAAAAATCTATTCAAATTATACCTCGCTTTGATTAAAATCAGAAAATTACGGATTATAGAGAGACTTAACTATTAAAGTGCATTTTACAAATCGGACGTAGTTGCATGCTTCACTTACTTTCTCCTTAATTTTATGTAAGAGATTTCAAAATTTCAAAATACAACGCAAAGTGTTTTCCAAGAAATATGTAATGTGTATTTGAATTTGTTGGTATATGCGTCGATGGCTGGTCACTTCCTGTGTAGTAATCAAATTTTAACTTGTTTCTCTTTCTAACAGTTATAATAGAGTAATTTTCAATTAAGTAACAAAAGCAATTCGGGATTGGTTCGTTTTAGCTTTACTCCGCCCTGTGATTGGCCTTAAAAATTTTCGCCAACCTTTCCAACCAATCACTACTTGATTTTTCGTGTTTTCCCGCCGATTTGATATTTCGTTGTCCGTACAAGATTTTGGCTTTGGTTGTAAGGCACTTAATCGAAGAGCACGCTTTACGAGAGCTATTCAACTGCTGTAGCTGACTGTCCTGAATCAAATGTTACACATGCACAGGGTTCGATCCTCAGTGTGGAACAGAATTAACTCTCGAATTGCTTGGAACAAGAAGCATCTGCAAAACAAAGGAGTAACATCAAAAGAGAAAAAATCACCTTTGGGTCTCAAAGAGGTAAGGCACCGGTAATTAACAGTATTAATCGAGGTTAGTTAGTGAAATTTCAACCAACTAACTTGCAGGACGGCCGTGATTTTGATGAGAGGTTACTCAGTATTTTCTTGGTGAAAATCAGAGTCGCCATATTCGATGTTTACAGCAGCGGAAGAGTCAGGAGAGAAATAAATTTTTATCAGGGAGGTGAGCGACGCTCAAAAGAAAGGTGAGGGGAGAAGTGGGGCAGTAGCAATCACCGCTCTCCCCTCCCCCCACCGTCCATTTAAAATCTGAACCAAACATGGCCGGTTGGATTAACAACCGCTAGCTTGAACCGTTAACTCGCCCCAGTAAGACGCCTATAATGCATGCTAAAAGCCAGCTAGAACTATGACTGAACAAACCTGTAGTCGTTTCATTTTTGTTGATGGTCTTGCATTATGTCTGTGGGCCTCTTAGGCTGCAATAAGAAAAAAGGTTGACTTCAGCCTCTTGGAAATAAAACATGTAAAGATCATCACATTTTGGAGGATACGTTAGTGTCTCGTCGGGCAAAATGACATTTTTTCTTTGCCCATAGTAACCACAAGTAATTTAATAAATTCACTTTTACAGTTGATACTTTCTCAGACTTTGAATCTACTGCCTCGCTTGCTTTGAAAAACGAAGGACCACGCCTTGATAAAGACAACTAACTTTGAAAGTGCTTGAAAAGTCCAATTGTGAAAAGACATTCTTTGCATATACAGCCCAATTTATTCCAGAAGAAACCTCAAACGCTACCATTAAAACAAAGCTGGCATACGCTAGATTTAGCGAATCAGTACTCACCAGTTTTCGTCTTCCAGAAGACATACAAATTTATCAACTCGGTCCCGCTTGACAGTCTAAAAGAAGAAACAAAGAAAAAAAAAATTAAGCTATCTGTATCTGTGTTACAGTATAAGAGTACAAGAGTATTTATGCTCTACCAAATTTACCTTCAACATCCTGGCCAATCAAAACAAAATAACAAAATATCTGTCCAAACTCAAACGCGAAAAAACACGAGTGAACTAGTTACGATTACCATACGTTTTAAATTTCACTAGTTTAAACCCTTAGAGTGACCAGCTTCTAATTTCTCCTTTCAAAGTCACCTTTAATCACACATCAAGGTCACGAGAATAAAGGAAATGATCAAGAACTAAAGAAGTTCTTGATTGTTAAACAAATTCTCCTTGTCAGAACCTCAGGAAACTTATAGAGAATAGTATAGAGATTATGAAAACTGATGCTAGGGCGTAAGAGGTTTTTAGACCGATTTCAGGGCGAAGTGAATCACAACCAAAGCAGTTCCCGATATTCCAGTCATAATTTCCTAACAGAACAATAATTTTTTAAAACCCTCTTAAGCTTATTTTTGAAACTACTCTATATGCTGTTGGAGCGCTTTTCGATTGCGTGTCGTAAAACCAAAGCCAAAGCAAGAGCCAAAGAGAACTGAAAGTAAAACCGACCAAACTGCCAAAGCGCGGGAAAACGCAGGCAACCAGGTCGCGATTGAATTTAGTCTTGCATCTGATTGGTCGATAGGGTGGCGCGAGTTTTCTGGACCAATCAAGTAGCGAAGTAGAGTTAAAACAAAGTGACTTCAGATTACTTACGACACAACTGAAAATTTCTTTAGCAGCTAGTTCACATTCTCTTCAGTTAAACACGGCATTTTTAACTTGAGAAAGGTAAACAAACACCACAAATCTGAATGATGACACGAAAGGGGCAACTGTACCTGAACTGCCATTTCCGCCATCATGAGTAACTTCCAATACTTTATTCTGTTAAAATATTAAATATGAAATAGGAAAAGAAGGTTGCTGAAGTGACGCGTGCTATTTCCTTTATTTCGATTTTTTTCCTAACAAATGCTGAACCTTTACACCCTAACATCAATACAGAGTCTGAAAATAGATTTAAGTAAACTGAGCATACCAAACAAAGTAGACAAGCAAATAAATAATTCAATAAATAAATAATTACTAATTATATAATAAGCTGCATCCTACACGCAGTTTGATTGGTTACGATAAAATTTGTTTGATTTGGTCTGCGGACCAGATTGAGGGCACATGGATTACAGTATTAAACGCTTCCACGATGCCCATGGTTTCCAATACATCTCGGCAGCTGGTTGTTCCGATCACAATCAATTTACGACCCTGAGAGAAAAAGAAGTAAAAAAAAGCGTCATTTGTAATTGCTGCTGCTCTTATTGAAAGCGGTCTAAATTTGGCAAATCCTTATCAAAATGTCTTAAACTTCTCATTGCCGCGTCTTTCTCGTCACCATTTTCACGGCAAGTGTTCATATAGTGGTTGTCAATAACCGCTGGCGACGAAGTGTATCACCACCATCGCTGTTATCCTCGCTATCACGAAATTATCCGAAAACTATACGAAAATTATCGTAGAGTACATCGTTGCTATCTCCGTCGTCATCGGCATTTTCGTCGTGATCGTCGACAACCTAACGAGAAGTAAAACCTGGAAGGATGTGAGCATAGTAGGTTTACAAACCTTTCTTAGCTTTTTCTTGAGCAACACAAGTAGAGCTTGAAGAACAGTGTTTGAAAATCTTGGCCCAATAGCAACATAGTCTGAAAATTAATGACTTTTCCGTTGACTTTTTACCAAAACTTCCATGACAGTTTTGCGGTAATTAAGATTGTGGGTTCCGTTATGGACTATTTCGTAAATGAGTGTTCTCCAGTTTAATAACGAAGAGCATTCTATAGAAAAATAGGAATTGGTTGGGGTTCAATGCACCCAAAGGACTCGGGGATGGGATTGTTTCTTACAAAAGTTTCAGGCAATTATGAGGTTTCTTTTGCCCGAGTTAAATGATTAGGCAAAGGATGAAATATAAGTCGTCGGCTTGAGCATATAGGTAGAGGTTGAGAGCCTTTTCTTCCAATGAGAAATTTCATGTTTGGAATTGGTATTTTTTCGCTTACCGAGAAAGCACAGGGTTCCCGATAGGATCAAGAGTAACTGTCAAAGTTCCCATTATCCGTGGGCTGCTCCAGCGTAAGAAAAAGTATAATCTTAGGAAGCGGTTAACATCCATCCCCTAGGGCCGGTGTTTTGAAGGTTTTTTTTTTTTCCGAGGGGAGGGTGTTATCAAATAGTTTTCAAGGGGAACGTAGGGGAGATCAGCCGTCACCAACAGAGTATAAAGAGTATAAAGGAGAAACTATAGAAACTTGACTGCCAGTTAACTGCCAATGAGGGGGAGGGGGAAGGGGGGGTCATAATAATGTCACGTAGCCTTATGAGGAATCAGGTAAATTTTGTTTTTCTCCCCCTCCCCCTCAGATAATAGATAATGACGGGTCTCTCTCAACCAACTGTGAGACAGGGGAGCGACAAAGTTACCTAAGGGGACTTCTGTTCCGTATTTGTGCTATCCTTGCAGTTTTGTGATAACAGCGGACTACATCTTATAATCTTTGACGAGTTTGATGCAGTTTGCAAGTCAAGGTACATGTACAATGTAAGTATTAGTATCTTTTCAACTATTTCTATTTGTTATCGATGGCTACTCCTGTTTCTTAGGACAGAAAAGACCGAGCCTTGTTAAATATGTGAGACATTTTTAACTAGGCTAGATGCGCTATTAGTATATACCACCGGTGTGAATAGTGCTTTTTGTGCTTGCTGATCGGCCAGTTCGGAAGTGATTAGCAAGTACTATTCACCTCTGAGCTGTCGAATAGACAAACCCGTGCATCAGGAGCTTGATTTCCGACCATTTTTCGATATATTGACATAACTAAAGATATTTTTGTTTCTATATGGTATGTGCTAAAATAATGATACTCCATATCAGAGGAGGAGGTGGATATTTACCTCCACTTTGGTGAATAAATGTTATAAGTAATAATAGGAGTCATCAAGCTAAAACCAGAATAACCGCAACAGCCAATCAGAACAAAGGGGATTATGACAATTGCCTAATGAGAACTCAAAGTGAAAACAATCAAACCGCCCGAAACGCGGGAAAATGCCCTTCAACATATCGCAATTTCTCTTGGTTTTGCATCTGATTGGTTGAGAGGGTAGAGTGAGTTTGTTTAACCAATTACATTAAAAAAATTGCCGTGTTACATTTAAGTATGCAATGAATTATTGTTCATTTTTTAATATTCTTACTTTAGAGCGGAGGCACTGGAGTGCAGGACTCAGTTGTAAATCAACTTCTTGCAAAGGTGAGTAGATTTTGATGTCTCTCAATAAAATTCTTCAGAAACAGATTTTCTCAAAAGCACACTAATTCATGTACCCCATAGATTCTTTACGTCCTGATAAGAGGTTTTTTTATACTGTGTATTCGAGATTTTCCCCCCAAAAGAGTGAGTGCGCAAAACAGGCTTAGGCGGGAATGATTTGATAGACTTAGAATGCTCGAGTATCTGAGGAATCTCGACATGATACGACTGTGGATGGAGGCCATCTACAATTAACAATTTTTCTGTTTGTTGCGGTTCTCACAATAATAAACAGGAAGCCAAAAAAACAAAATACAATTAAGGTTCAGTTATATGTATCAGCTTCGTGATCGTTAAGTGTACAGGTCGTTGTATAAAAATCGATACTCTCTCCGTTGTATTCTGTTCCCTATGTTAACTATTAATTTTGCTTTAGATTGATGGTGTGGAACAACTTAATAACGTTCTTCTCATTGGTAAGTTTCGTTAATGTCATTCATGGACGCTATGCAAGTGATGTTTATCCTTTAAAGATTTCTCCCCGTCTCTCCCCTCCCTCAGGTACCTGAACTGTACCTACGTCTCTTTTCGCACAGCCATTTCCAATCTTCTTCATAAGACATAAGACATAAGACGCAAGACAAAAGACGTAACACGTAACACGTAACACGCAACACGTAACACGTGACACATGAGTCATAAGTCTTCTACATGAGACGTTTATATTTGATAATTTCACTTGCCAAGGCAGTCATTATAAACTACAGACACTTATGTCTGCTTATCGGGAGGATATATTTGACGTTTTATTGTTTCGTTGCTCAAGGCATGACAAACAGAAGAGATCTCATCGATGATGCCTTACTCAGACCTGGACGACTTGAGGTTCAAGTTGAGATTGGTAAGTATGTTACAACGATCTTCATTCAAGTGCACTGCAGCTGTATCCTGTGGAACAAAGGCATCCTACAGTTGTGATGGATCCTCTTTACGTTTCCGTTTGACACTCTACCGCTCATGCGTGAACCACGAGGCTACGTCAAACATGCCCTCTGCCTTCCACGCTCTGTTCACGAGCAACAATGAATTTAGTAAAGCGAAAACAGGACAGTAACGGAAAGGACGTTAACAATAATAGCCAGATTTTAGAAAAACTCGGAATCCATCCACCCTCCCATGGAGTAAACTGAAAAAAAAAAATTCAATCTTAAATACGACATTTTCAAGTTCAAAGACGCTAACCTGGTACTTTCGGGATGAGATCACGTGAGAAACTTTGTGGAAAAGAATCAAATTTGTCTGAGAATTGACATCGTTTTCCAAGGCCTTGCACTAAATCTCAATTTGAAAAAGAAGCTGTGAGTATCTCATATATGTTCTTTTACTGAGTGAAAATGCTTTTAGAGTTGCGCGATAGATGTCTACAATAGTCACCTCAAAACGTTGTTTCAGCATGAGTTGGTTCTTCTTCAGGCCTACCAGACGAACAAGGACGCGTACAAATCCTGGAGATTCACACAGTAAAGATGCGAGAACACAAGTTACTGGCAGCAGATGTCGACCTGGCTGATTTGGCCGTCCAAACAAAGAACTTCACCGGGGCAGAGATTGAGGGACTGGTGCGAGCAGCACAGTCCACTGCCATGAACCGCTTCATTCAGGTACTGTAAGCGACTTTTCGTAGATAGTTTTTGTGCGGTGAGAATTCAGTAGAGACTTATGCAACGAACTGGCTTCAGCAAGCAATGCATCGTGGACTAGGTTTTATCATAAAACTTACTTATCACAAAAGTCTATGACTTAAGGAAAGATTCCACTACTTTCCCAAACAAAGCATACCCAAACGAGGGCCAACCGCTGATAGACACGACAGCAGTGTCGATCGGTAAACTTCCAGGGACGTTATTGGAGATAATTATCCTTTTTCCTTCATTTCACAGCTCAAGAATAATTTCGAGATCGATCCTGAAGCAGCTGAGAAGATAGTTGTGAAGCATGAAGACTTATACCATGCTCTGGAGAATGATATCAAACCGGTAAATGAATATTTTAGACATGTAGTGCAATTTTTAATTCAGTGTCAAAAATAATCTTAGATGGCGATGGGTTTTGCTTTACTTCGCTCTGTGATTGGTCCAGAAAGCTGGCGCCACTCTCTCAACCAATCAGATGGATAACTAGCACGAATCATGCCTTGGTCGCCCGCGTTTTCCGCGCTTTAGTCAGTTTGGTTAGTTTTACTTAGGACACTCAGTCGGACTAGTTATGTTGTAGTGATTGTAGTGGTTGGGGAATATTGCCCAAGCAAAAGGTGTTGTATGGGAAATAAACGGGGTTATAATGTCTTTCGTTGCAATTTTTTTCTCATGTCGATATGCTATTTTAAGTGATTTTCCATTATTTTGTTTTCTGTTGCACATGTAAGCCTTTGGACCCTCTGACGACAATCTTGATCTGTATGTCGCCAATGGTGAGTCTACTTGAAGTAAAATCTCCAGCGGGAATTTTGTGCAGCTTAACTCTCTCTTTAAGAGTGACTAGCAACTAATTTCTCCTTAC